AAATCGAAATAGATAAGTAAAAAAAAAATATTAATATCGAAATAAAAATGACGGAGGTCGCCTATGCGGTCAAGAGGCCGAAAAGACTTTCCATTCAAAATAAAAATTAAAAAAAAAAAAAAAAAATTGTCTACTACTTAATATAAGAATAAATTGAATATTGTTGAAATTGAATAGAAATTGCAATTATTATTATTATTTACTTTTGTTTTGAATTGGCTAAACTGCATTTATGTAATTCTACATATACACATAGACATGCATGCAAGCATGTAATTGTAATGTTGAAGCCCATTTATTTATTATTATTATTTATTGTTGTGAGGGAACTCTTCTAAAGCAGGCAGAGGCTTTACCATATTTAAATTAAAAGCGTATTTATCTATAATTTGTACACTGCACATAAATGGAAATGCTTGTGTATGAGTATGTGGTTTAATACATCTGTGTGTGAGTGTGTATTTGTTTGTATATATGTATGTAAATTTATGTTATTACTTTTGTGGGTTTACGCATTTACACACTTCTCTTGTATTTATATTTGTATTTCAATAACTTAAAAAATTAAGATTATACTTTCACATTTCGCACTTTTTTCACTCTTTACAACACACATCATCATTCATATAGAAATTTACTACCACTTTATATATATATATACATACATATTGTATAAACCTTTCGCTATATACTAACTAATTACAATATAGTATAATTTGTTCCTACATGCACATTTTCATACCCATGTATAGATATATGCATACATACATATGTGTATGTATTACATATAATGCGTTTAAATAATTAATCAAATTAGCTTGCGTATTTGTAATAAAAACTGATTACTTTTCTTGAATAATTATAGTAGTTACTTAATTAAATACTTTTACTACTATAATTAATAGCTGGTTTACATTTTTTTCTTGTAAAATTTATATTACAATATATTACAATTGCAAAATTTTTAATTTTTTTCATTCTTTAATTCCTCTTGCCTTTTTATGTTAAGGAAAAAATATATTTTTTCAAAGCAATTTTTTGAGGTTAGAATATTTAAAAAGAAATTTCTAGTTACAAATTATATGTATGTACATATATTTCAAAATCCATATATGTATGTAAATATGAACTTAACATTTTGCGGTTATTATAATTTATTTATAATTATTTTCTTGTTACATACACATGTATAAACACAAATGGTTGGCATAAAGTGGATAAATAACAATTTATGGAGAACTTAATGTATTTTGAAAAATTAAAAAAAAAAAAAAAACATAGTATATACATACATATGTGAAGACAAAAGTGCCGTTTAATTTGCTTCTTTTTTTTTCTTTTGCAAACCTTGTTTGCACAGAATAAATATTTTTTTTTTTAAATATTTAAATCGAGTTGTTCACAAAAAATGCGTCACTAATATATTTAATATATTTTATTTTTAGTTTGATAATTAATTAATATTTTTCTTATGTTTTCAGAGTTTCACAGGCAACAATAAAATGTTTAATAAAAGGAAAATTAGTTATATAATTATTAAATATAATTTGATGTAATAAAAAATGAGAAAATACTTTTGTTTTAACCTTTTTTATATAATAACTGCTATTTTTAAACAAAAAAATCTATATTTTTTAAAACAAGTTTTAATATAACTTTTTTCTTCACAGTAAAAGTGACAAATTTTTTTATATTCTTGTGCCATGCACATATAAATATTTATATAATGGCTGAAAATATACAGAAAAGCGGCCACTTTGAGTGATTAACAAAAAAAAAAAAAGAATTAAACAAATAACAGATTAAATATGAACAAATGAAACAGCAACATTTAAACACAACACAAATATAACAGTAAATTTCTAATTTTCAAACTTACTACAAACAAAACAAAAAGAAACAAAAACTTACATAATTTCCTGTGAGGCTTTCAAAATTCTCGCATGGTAGGGAACAAATTAAAATAAAAAAAAAAAAAATTGAAACTTTAGAAAATATTGCAAATCACATATATGTTTGGGTACTACTATATAAAACAAATACAAAATTTTAACCAACATTTTTGAAATCTATTTTAACAGAATTTTTTTTTTCAAATTTTAATTTTTGAAATTTTATTAGTGCACTAGCAAAGTATTTACGAGTTTCTTACTTTTTTGGGGCAATTGCATTTGCATTTATGTGTAAGGTATTTTGCTTTTCAATTGTAAATTTGTATCTACGGCGTAAGGGAAAACTAAAATAATAAACCATTTCAAGTGCTTATATGAAGTGAGCAGCTCTAGTTTACTGCTTTGCATCGAAAATGCCACCGGCCGATGGAACAAGCGGCCAAACTGTATACACAAAAATATCAGATTTCGTTTGATTTTAAGTGTATATGTGTGTTTTTATACCAAACTAATAAGTTTTTTGCAATTTAAAATTTTGTAATTTTTTATGATTTTTTTTTTTGTATTTTGCTCATTATTCAGATACGCTTTTAGTTTCAACACATACGTTTGAACAAATAATGTATTTTCATGCCGCAGCGCATCGCTTGCAACACAACATATATGTGGCATATAGGTTTGAATAATAGAATTCATATATGCGTTAAATTTATTCTTTCACATAAAGTAAGGTTAGGCTTGTTTTTTTAATATAATTTTGCCGACGAATAAAAAAAAAATGTTTAATGTACAAATTTTGCAATAAGAAAATTCATGATTAATTTTGCTAATCATAAGCATCAGACGTTTGCCGATAGTGTCTTATTGTTGAGTGTGTCTTATATACGGAATACCGAATTGAACATTGAAAGTATTAATTGTCGCTGAAATCAGTTTGGAATTTGCGTTTTATAACCGTTGAAGCGATTCTCTGATTTACCACTTGCAATAATTTTCATGTATTTAAAAAAAAAATAAAAATAAAACAAAAAATTCAATATAAATAAATAAATTACTTCATTTTTGTGTTTTTTTTTCTGAACCAGTAATGGTTTACTCTTTATTACATTGCTTTGTTTTTAATTACATTTTAACTCCACAGCTGTTCTTTAACTATTTCTGTTTTTTTTTCTTTTGGTTTACCCAACAACAAGGATGTGCTGTGTTCACAATTTGTTGTTGATTTCATTTTCAATTTAAACAACAGAAAAATATTTGTACAGTTCACGCATGTATGTGTGGGGTGTGTAATACAGCGTAAGTTTGCTTAAACAACACTATATAACAACAACCTTATATACATACAAACGAAATTTTCCACTGTGTTTGTGTGCTTTTGGAGAAGTGGGTGGTGATTTTTTATTTTTATTTATTTATTTATTTTTTTTATGTAATTGCCGAATTTAATTGTTAAATACCGCTATTGAATGTACATGGGATTTTTAACATTAATGTTTTATTTATAGAAAGCTTTTAAATATTTTTGATTTTGAATTGGTTGAATTTGTGATTTTAATATTTTCAAAAAACGCTTCAACGGTTACAAAGCGCCAATTATATGTCTATGTACGTTTATGATATTTTTTTTTTTTATTTTTTATTCCAAACAAATACAAATGCTGCCTTTATAATTATTTCGCTAACCAGCTATAGTTAGCATCAAACTTGCCATATAGGCTTCAAGGAGGTTTTGAAGTAAAAATTTATTTCTTTATTCTGCTATGCCTTACGCTTGTTTACGATAGGTCACATTTTTTTTGGATTTTTTTTTTTAGAATTAAGAAATAGTGAAAACAATTGTTATATATGTATCACCCCACAACAGTACATTCAATGCGGTTTGAGTAAATTTTGTATTATAATTTTATCCATTACTTTCGTCAGTATTTGTTTTTGCTCTTTTTTTGGACGGGATTCCTGCTGCTATTTGTTCTCTGCTGAGCTGCTACTGCTACGTTGGTGGTGTTCACGTATTCCTTTACAGCTTCTGTTGTTACGTTATTTTCTCTTTATGTTGTGTGTATTTAGTGTAGCAGCCTGTGTTTTTCTGATTTCATAATATATCTAAACTTTTGCTTTTGTTTTTAACTTTTCTCAGTGAACCCGATTTTAATAATTTTTCTTTTTATATATTTTTCTTCGTGTAATGTTGCATAATTCTTTTTTGCTATCGCCGTTAATTACCAGCGGTTAACAAACAGGGAGTACTAAGTTTGAAATTCGCAAACATTCATCTACATATATGTAGTGTGTGTGGTTCTGCGTTTTCTTTTTATGCAGCGTTAATTTAACATGATTTCTTATTCTCTTTTGAACTCATATGCATTCATCATTTGCTTCATATTTTTTTTGTAGTTTTTGCTTTTTAACGCAAATGCATATGATTTATACAATTATATTTTTTTGTGTGATTTTTTTGTTGCATTCAAAATATTTTTAACCTTTTTTTGTTGAGTTTTTAAATTAATTTGGAAAAAATATTGTTTGAAAGATTAGATATGTACAAAAAAAAAAAAGAAAAAAAAATGGGAAAACAAATTAAATTTAAGCAATATATAGTCAACGAAATTAAATTTAAATTAATAAAAGTAAAAGTTATATACAATTATAATCTTTTTGATATCGTTAGAACATATATTGTACATAAATATTTTCTTTCAACGTGTCCTCTTCGTAACTGCGTGTATATATGTGTAGGTGTAATAGGTTACTATTTTTTTTTTTTTAATTTGCGGCTTCTTTCAAGAAACTTTTTGTTATTTTGCATTTTTGATTTGAGAATAGTGTGTACGTATTATATATGAATAATTTACAACATTTAACAAAAAAAGTGAAAGAAAATAAGTAAAGTATTAAATAAATTTAAATACACATAAACGATAAGCTCTGATTATCTAACTAAATTTACGAAAATTAACATGAATTATATCTCTCGTGTAATGTATGTATATATGTATATAAATTTTTCTTGTTATTTTTAATTTTCCGCTTGGCGCTGTTTAATATAATTGATTTGCGCCGCTTTTGTTTTTTAACTGATTTCTTATAATTTTTACTAATTCCATGCCATTTTTTTAGCTCGTTTTCCGTGTGATTTGCTGTGATGAATTCCATTGTTTTGTAGATGATTTTGTTGCCAAAGGGGTTTTTTTTATTTAATTTTGCATCTATTTGAGTACGCCTTTCTAAAACATTCGACAAGATTCAATGTTTTGCGCTACTAGAACGAAATAAACAAAATAAATAAATTAATTAGTAAGTTCCAAGTGAAAAATAACAAATATAATAATACATATGTATGCATGTTAACATATATTATATGTACTGCCTTCTTAATTAACTTCATGAGTAGGCAAGAGAACGTAGCGACGGGTATCAGTGAACATCAACAAAAAGTAGGAAAAGCCAAGTTCCATGAGCTTTATTGGTTCGTAATCTTATGCTAGTATTTTCTTGCTGGCATGACCATTTTACATAATTTTATAAATTACTTTGCAATAGGAAATACGTGAGTCCATTAGAATTCTTGAGTCTGGTTTCCACGCTGCTTTTGGCATATTTCAGAGAAATGTTTGAGCGTAAAAACGGAATATTTTCACTTTACAAACAGATATTTATGAGGAACGAGGAAGAAGAGGGAAAACGGCTTCTTAGCACAGAAAACAATCGTGTAAAGGTACACTTGCTTAATCGCTGAATGTATTGATATAACAAAACGATTCCGAATTGCATTAAGCAAAAATCAATTTTTCATATTTCGTGATCTTCATTTGCCAACTCGATAACACTTATTTGGCCTTAAATCATGCTCTGGATTTAGTGTTGAATAAAAAAATTCAAAATTCAATGAAAATTACATTTGTTTTTATAAATGAGTCAAAATCCAAAGCATTTAAATATTTTTTTTCTTTTTTTCTCATTTAAATTTCGGGGTTTTCGCAAAAATTTGAGCCCATCAACTGTAAATCGATTAACTATTTTACTGTACATTAAAATTTTTATTTTTTTGAATTATAATTACATTGCCTCTAGGGTTTTAAAATATGTTTGTTTCTAAAAATCGAAATTTTTATTCATTGGTTTGCAAATATTTGTTATCGAATAACTTCATTTTCAATTTATAAAAAAAAAAAATCTTAAAATAAAAAATAAGTAAGTAAATACTAAAATTATGATTTTTTAAACAAACTATATGACTAATTTTTGTCTATTTGTTTTCTTATAACAAATACAATTTATTAGCACTTTTACCACTTACAATTTTGGTCAAAAAAACTATTCTATTCATTGATAGTTAAATTCTTGGTTGATAGTTAAATTCTTGATTACAGAAACTTTACTCAGCAATAAAATCCAAGCCGGAATAAGGAAAACTAATTAAGTTGAAATTATTTTTAATTGTGTTTATAAACAAAACAACTAAAATTTAAAAAAAAAATTGAGAAATTCTAGGTTAAGTTTCACTCTCTAAACCTCAATTTCACTCACCTTGCAGTATTTAAATTTGTTGTATTCCACTTTAACGCGTCAACGGACGTGAAGTCATGGTAACGTGCTGCAAAATGGATGGATTCTTGTCGATTACATTTGAAAACGGTGCCGCGTCCCCAACCCCACCGCAACGGCCGGTGCCACCACCGGTGCTTGCATTGCCATTGCCAGTAAATACCTCAAACTCATCCACGTCCGCCTCTGCGTCGCCCAACGGTTTAATAGCTGTTAAGTGATATTGACAAGTGATTATAGTTTGATTTCCACCATTCGCTGCATTCGAGTCGCAATCAAAGGTTATATTGGCGCCACATAAGTTGTTAGCATAATCCGAATTCATATTTGTTTTTGAAGCAGCTACAGCAGCAACGGCTGCTGCTGCACCGAAACGCAGTGAGGCATTCAGAAAGTTTTGTAAACTCAAATCATTGGCATTCGTGGAGGGTGCAGATGTGGAGCAATTGTCATCCAACGATGACTTCAATATCTGGCTATTTAAATTGGCAATTTCCTTGTTGTTATTGTTTTGCATAACAAGATTGTGGGAAGCGGCATCAGTTAGTGTATCACCGTTGCCGCTGCTATTGAAATGAGCGTGAAAATAATTTTGGGATGCAGAGTGACGTCGTTTGCGTGTTGCTGCCTAAAATGTAGTAGAAGCAAAGGGTAAACAAAAATTAGTAAATATGTATATATGTATGTAGCATGTACGAAGAACATAAGAAAAACAAATTTACCTTTATTTTTAAAGCTGAGTCCACTAGCTGTGCGCCTGTTAAAGCTGCTGCCACTTTATTTTGGTGGCTGCTGTTTTTGACCATAAATTCCTGCGCCAGCTGCAAATTGGCAGCGGCCGCTGCTACGCTTGCATCTGCGTTGGCACGTAAATTACGCATATTTTTCTCGGCAATATCAGTTTTTACATCGTTTTCACTTTGATTTTCATCGGTGGTTAATAGGGGACTTACATTTTTTATTGTCATAATGGCTGTATTGGCTTGTGGTTGTAGCTGTGGCGGTAATGGGGTCGATGATTGCCAAATTCTAGCTAAATTCTCATGCTCCCACATCATTTCTGTGTGATATTTGTCGTTTGCATTCCCATTAGTTGCTGGTGCTGAGGACTCATTGTCAGCATGCACTGCTGTCTCAGCTGTTTTCACATTATATTGACGTAGGAGTTTTAGCGGATGCACACTGGCGCCGCTGATAATACCACCACTATTGCCACTGCTATTACTTAAATTCAGTTGCCAAATGTTACGCTCATTACCGTTCGTATGCCATAAATTGCCCCTAAATTGTGTTGTTGGCACCTTTCCACATTCACCTGAACGCGGTTGCTCATCACCTTTTGCCGAATTGCTGCCATAGTTCGCATTCACCTCATCCATTTGCTCACCATCGACACTGTTGTTATCGGGGCGCAACAATTCAGCGATTAGACGGTTTACTTTTTGTATAACTGTCATTGTTTCCGAATCATTGTTGGCTGAGCCCTCAGCGGCAGTGTCATCATTTTTGATGGTGTCTGTTCGGCTACGGTTTGCAGGATCTTCATCTATGCTATTTGTGTCGACATTTATGTTGGGATTGGCTGCATTGGTCGCAAAGTCTGCGTGACAATGAAAGGCAAGCTCTTCATCAATAGTATTTATGGTGTCATTTAAATTTGAATTAACTGCATTGTTCTTGGATTCTGTAGGCCCTTTTTCTATCGCTTCTGGGGTGCTGCTAAAATTTGTATTGGATGCATTGTTTTCCATGTCTGTGTGGCAACACATTGCAGGCTCTTCATCAATGCTATTTACGGTATCGTTCAAATTTGTATTAGCTACATTTACTCTCAAGTCTGCGCGACGATGAAATGCAATCTCGTCATCTATACTATTTATGGTGGCATTTAAGTTCGGATTGGCAACACTGCTTCCCATATCTATGTGGCGTCGAATTGCGGGCTCTTCATCAACGCTATTCATTGCGTCATTTACGTTTGGATTTGCTTCAAATTCATCAGCAGCGTCAGCAGTTACTTCGTCCACACACCAATCGCTGTCGCTAGTCTCGGTATTGGCAACACTTTCAACATCATTATCATCATTTTCCCCACCATCGTAATCGGCATTATCATCACCGCCATCATCATCGCTAACATCGTCATCATCAGCACTCCCAATATATAAATCTTGCATATACCTGAGATCACTCATTATCTCGTCGCCCTCCAATTGCAGTTCATCGCGTAATAACCGATTGGCTGGTATAGATATTATTTCATTATTACAAGCAGGGCACATGTCCCAAACTGACTCGGCACCACACTCAACCCCATTATTATTGCCACTAGCAGTCATATGGCCAGCTTCTCTGCACCGTTTGTGTATCTGATTCATGGACCATTCCTGCTCCAAACTTGGCATATTCATATCGACATTGGCTGAAATCACTGTGCCGCGATAGCCAACTATATCACCATAATCAGCAAAGTTGGCATAAAAATCTACCTCGTCGCTACCCGCATCATTACCATTAACATTTTGCCTAGCGTTACTTCTAGCATTTTGCTGCTGACGCTGCCGGTATGCATTCCAGCTATGATCGCCAGCATCGGCAGCGATTGGTAGCCAAGCCGAATTGCTCGCAGTGGTCAAGGGTGGCGGTGGTGGTTGAAAATGGGCTATGGCGCGCGTAAAAGCTTCTGCCGTGTCGTTGTAGACGAGCTCATTCTTGGCGGTCGCTTTTAAATTTTTAGCCGCATTCGAAAAAATCAAACTCAATGGATGCGGTCGTGTTGCGGTTCGGTAATTCGTAAATAATGAGCCGCTAGCTATACCACTTAGCATGGTGGAGCTGTTGGCGTTCAATGGCGTGCGTGCCGTTGGTGGATCAACATCTGTTTGGCAAGCAATCTCATTGCGTTTTACACGGAATCGGGGGACAAAATTTTGTTTGCTACGATTTGCTTTGGTGGCGTTTCTATTGTATTTGTTCGCGTTTTTATTGGCTTTGGCATTGGCTGATGTGGCAGCCTCACAATTCGAATTGGCATACAAGGGATTGGAAGAGGCGCCGATGCCGTGGTCGTCGTCCACCACGAAATTATCGCCGCGTGTATACTCCAAATATCTATCGTGCTCAAAGTAAAGAGAACCACTTGACGAACGTTCGTACTCGACAACATCTAATTCACTGCAAATATCGAATGTGTGCCCGTCGGGATAGAATTTTATCGGATGGAAATGTGTCTTTTCCGAGGTTAATAAATTTTCGCTTTCATCCACAATTTCCATCGGATGTGCATCTTTTTGCTGTTGTTGTTCTTTTTCTTGCTGTTCTTCGCGTCGAATTTGTTGTTTTATCTTCTGTTCGAGTTCTTCCTGTTCTTCCATTAGTTCTTCTAAGTGCATTGCTTCTAACTGTTCCCGCCTGAGAGCTAGATCTTGTTGCGCTTGATTGCGTATCTGTTCCAGCAAGAATGATTCAAAATTTCTTTTGGTAAATTTGTATTCTAAAACTGTTTTTATGCGTGAATAGGCGATGAAGCCACTTCGTGTCGAATGATTAGGAAGCGTCACTTCCGATGACACCGAGTCACATGGTGAGCAACCAGCTGCGTTTGTTTCGTGCATTTGTCCATCGACTTTAGATTCGCCTTTCGCTAGGTGTTGCCAATTAGTGGCACGCGATGTCGAGGAGTCAGTGCAATCAGTACCAGTTCTATAGGGATTACTTTGGTTCATATGCTGTTGTGGCAACGCCGTCAATAGCATTGCGCTACTATTGACTTGGGCCGGTCCGGCATTTATGCCCTCTGACCACTTAGATGTTGTGTATGGTGCGGTGAAGGTAAAACTATTACTGCCGGGCAAGCCAGTGGAAGTAGTAGCTATAGCATCGTTTTGATGCATCAGTTGTTCCGTGGTCTCGCTATTGCTGCAGGCCGCGCTATCGTTTTGACTTAGCTGCCTGGCAGAGTTGTGTACTTTAAAATAAAAACTCTCATCCGTATCACCACCACCGGAATATGCGTTAGTCGACCAAATCGAATTCGGGAAAAATGGTGCTATCGGAGTTTTACGCTCCTCACCTATGGTGCCGCCTCTGCGCAAGCCAGCATTAGCGCTCTCGCTACAACCAGTTTTATGATTTCCTCTTTTCATCTCACCTAAATTGCTTGGCATTGAAAAGTAGTCACTTGTGGGTGCCGTTATGGTTTCTTCAACCTGTGCTATATTAGAATTAGCACCAGCACTATTAAGACTTTCTGTATTTTGCTTTAAGACATTAATATCGTCGGAGTTACTGCCAACTATGCCTGTTGGTAGAATTCTACTCAAATCAAAATGGTGATTATAATAGTTCGACCAAAAGTTTCTTAAAGTTTGCGAAAATGGTGCAACTGTTGGTAGTGAAATGGGTCCGGAATAGTGCCCGCCGCTGCCTGAAGTGTGGAAAGAATTTCCAAACGTTGGGAAGCCCTTTTGTGCATCAGCTGCGCTGTGCGCATCTTTCCACAAAGCTTTAACGCTACTATCAAATTTTGCTTCGTATTGTGCAAAATCTGATTGTACGTCATTTTGTGTATCGCTTGTCTGCAACTCACGCTCATAGAGACGTTTAGCAGCTTTGGGTGTAGCGGTAGCAGTGGCGCCCTCACCGCCAGTAGCCAAATTTACTAAGGGCCCGTCGTTAGTCAGTTCTGACACCGTAGCGAGTGTGTCATCGTAGTCGTCATAATCGCAGAAAGAAATATCTATCAAAGCAGGCAATGGTGTAGCAGGTTTTACGGCACCTTCCTCAGCATGCTCATCCACACCGTGGCTATCAGCTGAGTATGCTTTTTCATTTGTTCGTTGTGGATGCTGTTTCTCATTAATTGCAGTGTTTTCTTTATTGACAACACTATAATTATCATCGATTTCATTACCAGCAGCTTTAGCTTCTGCTTTTTTAGTGATATTCTTTTTATTATATGCGACCGCGCTTTCCGAAGTACTGCGATTGCGTGAATTACGATTCTGGCTCGTTATAAATTCTTTAATTAAATCACGTCCCATCTCCCAACAACCTTCAAAATCTGTATCCCAAACGCTAGGTGAGAGCGTGCGTTTATTACCATTACCACCATTTGAGCCAGACGTTGGGTTCTTGCGTTGATTTTGTTGATTGGTTTTACCTTTGGACAAAGCTAAAAAAAAAGCATTCAGTTATTTATGAGGTAAAAAAGAAATAATAAAATAAAAAATACTGATTACTGTAATTTTACACTTACCACGATTACGGCGTGTACGTTTCGTTTTTCGTTTGATTGCGCCATAAGCAGCGCTGCAAGCACCATAAGCAGAGGCATTATCGCCATTTTCATCGACAATTTCATCAACAATCTCATCATTTATGATGGCATCATCATCGCTCATCATTTGCTGCTGTGACCCAGCAGCAGTTATACTTTTCTCCTCATTACCCATTTTTTTATCCAAAGCATTTATTGGCTGTGCATTTATAGTATTAACAGCGTTTGTAGCGACATCTTGTGGGTAATTTTGGACGTCTTTAGTGGCATTTTCAGCGCACGAATTACTAGACATTGTTGATGAGCTAGCACTGCTAGTGGATGCTGCTTCATTGCGTTGGCTTTTATCAGCTGGCCATGGTAGCCATTTGGCACTGCGGCGCCAAAAGTTGACAGAATCTTCCATCTCTTTATTTAGTGCAGGAAAAGCGCGGAAATATTCAGAAGAATCGGAATTTTTCTCCTCTAACTTTGCCGATTTACTTGAGCTACTGGTTGCTAATGGTTTATTAACAACTTTTACACTTTCAATGGCGCAAGTGGCGTTGCAACTTTTACTATAGGCTGAAACTTCTTTTGTTTGCTGTGCCTTTTGTTGTTGGTAATTATTAAAGACTTGATGATTTTGAAGTTGACTTAAAAGCTTGTCATCATCTTCACTTTCAGATTCACGTTCAAAGTCTTTGAGTTTTGCGCACAGCTCATCAATGAGAATTTCAACTGTGGCGATCTGAAAGGTAAAAGAATTTTTTAAGCGATTTCTTTAAAGTATGATACGTATATAAAATAAATTACTATACTATATACATATTTATATATAAATACATAATCTTGAATTTGAGTTTATTTTACTTTGTTAAACCTACCTCCTGTTCGGAAGAAACAATGTCCTTTAAAATCTGTACAGCGTTGAATTTCTTAAAAGCGTCAGCCTCGAATTCTCCGTTACGTCTATTGCCGCCTTTACGACTTGCGCGAAAAGTCTGTAAGTTGAAAAAAAAAAAAGAAATTAAAAATATTTATATATAATCAAATTTGGTACCACTGGAAAAACACAGGGTCTTTTCGTTGGCAATGTGGATATGCATTAAAGGATTGGTGAAAATGTTGCTAATTTTGTTAGATAATTATAAATAAAAAAAAAAATAATAATATACAAAATCGTTTAAATAGCCAAAATATGTATTAATGCTTGAAAAATGTAACAATGGTTGTCATACATACATATTCAAAAATTTTGAAAAAAAAAATAAAACTTGGTTTTAATTTGGAAAATCCTTTAACTTAGCCATACCACCATTTAAAACCCTGTTAAAAAATTGGTGCTATAAGATAATAGGTGAACAGATCGATATTTTCAGCTTTTCATTATGAAAATATAAATGCATTTTTGATTTTTAATAAAATTTTCAAATAGATTTTTTTTTTTTGTAATTTTTAATTATATGTTTTTTTTTTAATTTTTTTTTGTAATTTTTTTTTGTAATTTTTTTTGTAATTTTATACTTTTTTAATTTGTTTGTTTTGATTAATTTTTTAATTTTTCTGTTTAATTTTTCATTTATATTTTTGTAAATTTTTTATTTTGATAAATTTTTGCTTAAACTCAAAATATCGCTCTAGTTCATAAAAATTAAAATTTCTTTAAGTAAATTTAATTATAAAAAACGCTTTTTAATTACTTCTAAATTGTTGAGTTCAGTTGGATCATTGATATCGTTGGTCGATTGCAAAATAGACAAGAGAAGTCTAATATACATGTGTGGGGCCTCAACGCCTAATTGCTCCAAGCGGGATACCAGCCAATCGGATATGGCGTTTACCGCACGTGTCGATACTGTTTTCGGATATTTCATTCTATGCTTTGTAAAAATTGATTACGCACATTTTTATTTTTTATTGTTTTTGTTTTTTGGTTTCAGTTTGCATTTGTTGTTTGAAAATTTCATAAAAATGAAAGAGAAAGAAATATAATAAAAATGTTTAGTATCACTTGTATATAAAAAATTCATTTCAATACGAGCATACACATTTTTAAATGATTAGCAAATAAGTTTGTGCATCTAGGTGGGGGTGGGGGAGAAAAACTATTGACTAATATAAAAAAAAAAAAACAAAAAAAAAAAAACAATGCTACTTTGTAAGAACAAAAAAATATAAAAAAACACAAAGAAACATTACGTTCACATTTCTAAACTACTGCTAAAAGCCGAGTTAATACAAATTAGATTAGATCACACCATCAAGTCAAGCCAAGTGGTGTTAATCAGCACATTTCTGAGTACATATTTTTTAGAACAAAACATTTTTTTTGTTTCTAACTTTAAGTGCTTTTTTTTTAACAATTTTCTTCTTTAACTACAATACTGTTATTGTACAATACCAAACATAAACATTGGTAATAGCTGGATTAAACTAAAACAAGTCTAATTTGCTGCGCATGTGCGCATGATAACCAAAGAGTGTGAAGTTGAACCATTTAAACTTTAATTTCCAATGTCTATGAAGAAATTATTTATTCCTTGAAAATAATATATGGCATTGCAAAGGTCATTTTTGAACTAAAATTTTTTGTAACAAAAAAAATTATTTTTTTGTTGTTGAAAAAATTTATTTTTTTGTTGTTAATTACAAGTTCTTTTCAAACAAAATATTGTAATTTTGTGCAATACCAAACAGTATTTTACTTAATTTTTAAATTAAATTTTTTTTTTAATGAAGGCTTATTTAAATAAAAAAACAAAGCCTAACAAATTAAAAAATGTCAATTCAAACATTCAAATTTATTTTTTATAATAACTAGGAAGCGCTTACGCTGTGAAAAAGTTCGTTAAAAACATTTTATTTTTTTCTGTGGCTTAAATTTATGCCAGGCTGTTATGAAAAAAAATTTAAAATGTTTTTTTTTTTTTTTTTTTTTTTTTTTTTTTTTTTTTTTTTTTTTTTATTTGAAGTCTGTTAGACCTTATCAAAGGAACAGGCACGAATTTTATAGTTTTACTTAAAAAAAAAATAAATAAAATATTTTGCGTTTCTTACTGAACGCAAGTGTATGCTTGTATAAATGGTTTTTTTTTGATTTTTGATTTTTGATTTTGTGTGTTACACGTTGAGGTCCACTGCAATTTTGTTATATTACAAATATTTAGTTGTTGTTTTTGCATTTAATGTGTTATATTAATTAAAACCAAACTTCTCAATTCAATTAACAATCGAACGATATGAAAAACTCAAGAAGAATGAATTTAATAAACTGAAAATCAACAATATAAAAATATCATTTTGCTTTAATTCTACAATATACTTACATATGTATGCATGTATGTATGTATGCATGCGTATAAGCAGAAAGAAAGCAAAACACACAACTTATGCTCTGAGCTGTGCAATTTCGTTTATATACTAATAATAGTAGTATAAACAATATATAATACTATGTATGTACATATGTGTAAGATAATGTTAATGAATTTGGAAAAAGAAACCATAACAAATATGTCGATTAAATAGCATTGGACCCTGGCGTTATTCGTAAAATTTGGTTAATATTTATATGTAAATACATATGCATAAAAAATGTGAGAATTTTTAAGTTTTTTTTTTTTAAATAAATGCAAGCTATACACTCCCGGTCACTTAAATGGAACTACTCTATAGCCAAATAAACAAATAAAATAAAATAAAACATGAAAGCATGCGCATTATGACGAAAGTAGCTTATTTAGTACTGGCTGGTGGTCTACATGAGAATGAAATGCCATAGTCGCATTGGATAGATTGAGCTTGCGACTACCGTTGTTGTATTCATGCACTGCTTTTTTCCAAAAAATTATTATGATTTAATGATTTTCTATAAAATAAATGCGCCATTTTAGTGCCTAGGAGTGTATTGCGGGTAAGCAGCAGTCATGAGAAAAATATTTGTAGAAAAATTCAAAACATTTTTACACGAAAAAGTAGCTCAAAATGTATTCATGCGAAAAATAATTTAACAAACAATTTGCACACTATCAACACTACGAGTGCTCAAAACTATAAATACAAAAAAAAAAAAAATTAAAAATAAAAAAAAAAAATAGCAAAAAATATTAAGGATTTTTCATACCTGAAACTTTTCACCAAAACGCACAAGTGAGTCGCAAATCACTCTTCGTTTAGAATTGTTGCTAAAAACCGTTGATAACTAGCAATAGCTCGATGCTTAGTCACAAAGTATGCAACGTATTATGTTGCAGAGCTGCTGTTTGTTTTGCTGATGCTGTTAGCAACTAACACACAAATTGTTGCTGTTGTTGCGCACTGACGATATCATAAAATATATGAAATATACGCACAGTACTCGCTTCACATAGAGTTCGCACAGTCTATGGTCAATTGGTCGCTACCAAAACGGCAATGTATGTATGTAAATACAGGCACATATACGACGTTAACGGTGTGGACGTTGATTATTTGAATATCAACTATTGCGACCGATAGGTCACAGCAACAATTCGCATTTGGGTGTTGTTGTTGTTGTTGCTTTTTTAGTGGCAATACGTTGCTATTTCCTTTGGCGATGCTGCTAATGTTGTTGCTGCTGTTGTTGTTGTTGCTGCTGCTGCTGTTGTTCTTCTCCACGACGCCAGTCGACGTTCAGGTTGGTGGTCTACCACGCACTACCACTGCTAACGACGCCCCCTTAACTAATGATGTGGCCTGAAATAGTCGATAAGGTTGTTGTTGTTGTTGTTGAATTGATTAATTATTACTTTTTGTTTGTTTGTTTGCTTGTTTATGATGGCTTTACAGTTGTTGCTGCTGTTGTTGTAGTTGTTGTTGTAATAGAACACAAATTAACAAATGAAATCTTTAAACATTTTTCAGTGCAATATCCGCAGATGCATTGTAGAAAACAGCATTGCACAACAACATATTGGCGTACAAATTTTGCACCTGTTGCTCTTGTTGTAGTTGTACTACTACCACTACTTCGGGCTGTTGTTTGTTTGCTGTCTGCTGTTGCATATGTTGCCGCATTGTCATCATGGATTTGAAAAATGTTGCAAACATAATGTTTGTTTGTTTATTATTTCTTTGTTTGTTTTTGTTTCATTTCTAAGCAAATTTATCTACTTCATACACTATTACAAATTAACATATCATATATGTATGTACATATATACTAGGATAGCTAAAGATGTATATGCACATATATACGTATGTTTGTATGTATGTATATAAGGACACACTATTGCAGCGGAATGAATCATATACGAAAAGCGCACAGTTGCAGCTATACACTGTTGCTTTTGTTGTTGTCTTCCGTTGATTTTTGTATATTATTGAAAGTGTGTTTTTACTTAGAGATTTCTGTTAGTAATCAAACTACTACTACTACTCGGCTACAGGAGGATTTTACAATATTTTTTCAATTCTTTGGTCTTCAATTTACGGTTTTCTTTTTTTTTTATAGATTTTATTACATTATTTGTTATGTTGCTGCTGCTGTGTTGCGTTTATTTTGTTGATATTAATTTTTTTTGGTTATTTTTTCGTATTATTTGTGTTTTTTTTTGTTTAAATCTTTTGTAATAATTATTTTTGTGAATTATATATATTTTTTTTTTAAATTATGACGCTTTTACTAAAATTATAAATCCAACGTATATGCAGCCCGTCGTCTCGTCCTACATTTATCAATATGTATAGGCAATAATATAACGAACGCTTATGTAAATGAAAATTCTTGAAATGTTATTTGCTTAATTTGCCACACCTCTTCGTTTCTTAAAAATTGTTGCTAATTAAATCATAGTGTGGAGAGTTTGTGAAGTTATGGTGTTTTGCTGAGCGCGCGTTGAACTCGTCGCTGTGATGTATAATATATATATGAATGTGTGTGTATCGTTGATGTTGCCGTTGTCGTTGCCGTCATTTACTGTTATGTATTCAAATTGCTTGCATTGTGTGCATTGCCGTTTTGCTGCAACATCAAGTGATTGAACAATTGTTATAGCTGCGCTCTGTGCTGTTGTTGTTATTGGTGTTTTTCTTATACAGAAAAAATTCACACTTTTACGCTGTGTCGTATTGAACGTAGTTAGCTGCTTTTATGTTGGTTTTTAATTTTATTTTTGTAAGAATTTTAAATTTTTTTAATTACTAATTATTTTCGCTGACTGTTTTTTTTATCGAGTTTATTTTTTTTTTAGCTTTTATATGGAGGGGTTGTTTTTGTAAGGTTGTGGTTTCTGTATTAAATGTAGGACTGATGATGCTTTGTTGTTGTACGCGGTCTTTCAAAATTTTCCAAATTTCAGCTTTAGCGTTCGGTCACAGCTTTTGGTACTCTTCACTCGTTAGCCAAGATGATTTTAAGGAGATGTTTGCTGGTTTGTTGGCATGTGTGTGTGTGTGTGTGTGTATGTTGGCGGTCGTCGTAGTTTTTGTTCCGTGTGTTTTGTGGGCGTGATTATTGCGCAACGCAATTGTAACAATTGCAGTTACTACTTCTCCTACTGCTGCCGCTGCTACTGCTGCTGCTTCTGCTTTTGCTGTTGATTGATCTCAACTGCATTTAGTAATCCATCATTACGGCTTTCATTTGGGTGTTATGGAACAGAATTCTCAATAGAATTATTCCACACTCCTTATTCAAGGTATTGTTTAGTCTGTAATAAATGAAAAAAAGAGAGAGAGAGAGAGAAAAGAATTAATATGTGTATATTTTTTAAATAATTTTAAATTTATATTGTATTTTTTTTTTTTTTTTTTAGAATTTTCCATTATGTCAATTCTTAAATGCTAACTAAACAGTGCTAGTTTTGTTCAGCAAGGTACATGGACTTCTAGATTTTTGTTATCAGTAGGAGAGAAAGCAAGCTATTTGGCATTAATTTTAGACAGATTGCACGGCGGGAAAGCGAACTAATAAATTAGGATTGACAAAGCTGCTATAGCAACTATGTATACACCGGTAAAATATTTGGTATGACCCAAATGGCAACTAATGCCTATTTTGCCATTTCAAGTACAAAACTTTCTCTCATTCTCTTTCTAAAATTGAAATTGCAAATTCTTTTCTTTTCTTCAATAGAATTTCCATTTATGACATTTTTTTTTCGCTTAAGTTCCATAATTTTTATTTAAATAATTTTTTTTATATAATACAAATATAAATTTAATATGAGTTACACATATGTATATATGCATATAATATTATACATTGCCGCTGTCGTTACTAAGCATTTACGTTTGCTTTAATATTAATTTTTTGCTCTTCGGATTGCTTATTAAGTAAAGCAAAGCTCATTAGCGTAAAAAAACACCCAACAACCATATGACTTATTACGAAAGCAGTATGAGGTATATAGGAGCGTAAGCAATTAGGCCAATGTACAATATATATACATGTACATATATTAATAGAAGTGAAAGAAAAATCAACATAATTAACGCCGACACTAAAATTTCGTTTTATCAGTTGATTTTATATAAAATCATACATACAAATGCACGTATAAATAAAAATTCATATCAAAACGTCAAGTTATACACCACTACATACATATGTACAACTGATTGCATATGCAAATGCATTTGTAGAAATGTACATATACATATGTATGTATACGTATGTATGTATGTAAAAACTCAATTACAGCTGTTGTCCTGCACTTGTTGCCTCAGCTGATAAAATAAATGTAAATACTTATATATGTACATACATATGTACATACAGTCATATTTAATTCGTAGTTCAATATTTGGACAAGTGTACGAGTATAATGTTGAGAGGCAGTATACAAATCTTATTGCTATTAGAGAAAAGGCGAAATTGTTTAAATAAATAAAACAAAGATCTTGACAAAAGTTAAACATTTTCAGAAGATTGTACAATTACAATTAATATTTTTATTAGAATGAATAAAAAAAAAAGTAATTTGATGTGCTTGGAAAAAAAATTTTAAACAAAAATAAATTAATATTTTTATTGAAAAATGTTCTTTTCGAAAACTGACCCAAGTATTTATCTAAATAAAAAATTAAATAAATAGAAAAATAATTGGATTTATTTTGAGAAATCAGATATCGAGTGATAAAATTGTAGCTCGCAAATTTTCAATTCAAATTTTAAATCCAAAAATAATACAAAGCAGACATCAAGTAAAAAACAACGACTGATATGCGTTTTTTATTCTTAATTGCATGGCCATTGAGAGCTGGCTGAAAGCGCCTCTAACTGAAGTACAAAGTGCAAACAACGGGAATAATCAAATATATGTACATACATACATATGTATTCTAAATAATTTGATTTCAAATGAATTTAATGGAACTGTATAAAAAAATTGAAATTACGAATGGGCAAAGTAAATCAATTAGTTAATGTTTTTTTGGGGAAAAAGTGTATTCATATATATATTTTTGTATTTAAATAAAAATAAATTCTATCGATAAGACGGTATATTTTTTTAAATCTGAAAAAAGCTATAACAAATTTACAAAAAAAAAAAAAAAAAAAAAAAAAAAAAAAAAAAAAAAAAAAAAAAAAAAAAAAAAAAAAATATTATTTAAATAAAAAAAACTTATTCTATCGCTCAGGTGGCCATAAATCAACTTGTAAAATATTAAAAAAAAAAAAATAATGCACTATAGGCATAGAAAACACAATTACCACATGACTTGCGGGTTATAGATACATACCTACATACATATAATCATACATTCATATTCATTCATTTTTACATACATATGCACTCATGTATAGAAGCCATTCAACAAACTTGTGAATCATCAGCAGAAACCATGCAGGCATTATTTTACAATAGTGATAAATGTGAAATTCGTGTACGGGAAGAAAAAAGCATTAACAAGTGGTTGTGGGGAAAAAATAATAATAAAATTAGTAAAAAGCAAAAATGTGCTAAAAAAAAAAATAGCAACTAAAAAGGCAATGAATTGAAGGTGAAAGAATTGTGCTAAAATTGTGCACGCTGGACATAATTGGCACAAAGCGTTTGAGAATAATACACACTTATTTATATATACACACATACGTACGTACATTTGTATTGATATGTATTGTATGTACGTGTATGTACTTCACATAAATAGAATAAATATTTGTAATGCATAAAATGTGTGCAAATGCATATAGATTTAATATATTGTATTTACTTATATAAAAGCAATTACGTGCATCTAATCACGTACATATGTATGTATCTATGCATGTATAGATCTCCCTGCTAGATAATTGTGACGTCATTGCAAACGGAAAGAATGGCAAATGCATAGTTATGTAAATATCAATTAAGGCACTTATGTACGTATGTATGTATCGTAGATAACAAACGTCAAATAACAAAAAAGTGACGCACTCAAAAAAATATAAAAAAAACACCTTAAATATAGTACTAAAAAAGAAACCAAGCAGTAAAAAAAATCACAAAAATATATACATATAGTGATTATTCTACATTATTTACTAGATGCTTGCAGATTATCTGTTTTAGAGCCGCCCACAATGGAAAATAAAAAATTAAGCAATTCTTTTATTAGGTTGGTTTAAATTCATATAAAAAAATCAGCGATTGAAAATCGAGTATTTTTTACCTAAAAAAGGGGTAATAAATTAACAAAAAAAAAAAAAAAAAAAAAAAAAAAAAAATTAAATAAAATAATCTATCGCTAGCTAAGGCGGTGTCATAAATGAAAAAAATATAGTTTAAAAAATCTTTGGAAAAAACGGAGGAAAAATAAGAAAACAGCTGCAGAAGAGTTCGTAAAAAAAAATTAATTCAAACCACAAACAGAAAAAATTAAAAAAAAAAAACAAAATAAATCAAAACAAAAATATGTATATATATAAAAGCCACTAAACTTAAAAAATTAAAAAAATGATAACAAAAAAAACATATATCAACCTAAGTACATATGTACATAAGTATTATATAAAAATTAAAAAGAAATAATAAACGAAAAACTAAAAAAAATAAAGAAAAAAACTAAAATAAAATGAAGAAATAAAAACAGATAAAAACAATAAAAATAAATCTAAAAACACCGAACTATAAAAAAAAAAAAGAATTTAGACAACAAACAGGAAAAGAGAATAAATGAAAACAACAAAAAAAAAATTAATTAAAAATGAATAGGAAAATAAGCAGCATTAAAGTTAATAAAGAAATAAAAACCAACTTTTGTAGAAATAAATTAACTCATATTCGAGATTTAGGTAACGATTTTAAATTTTACGTAAGCGAAGCTCAAAAAAAAGCTACCTAAATTGTTACATGTTTGACGTGAAAATCTAAAACAATATGAAAAAGTAAAATAAAACTTTAAGGTAGTAATAGTGAGGGCTTCAAATATTCAGATACGGATAGAGTAAATTTTTCAAAAACATAGAAAAGAAGCTTATAAAAAAGGTAAACCTCGTAGATCACACTGATTACACAAAGGTGATGATTTAATAACTAAAAAATGGATTTTTATGATTTTTCAATTACTGACGTTTTAGGTTATAGCATATTACTATAACAAATATTTAACATTATCATTGAAGTTCAAAAGTTTGTATAATAAAATAAATCGAAAACGGATAAGCTAAGTTGAGTTTTTTTTTTACTGAAAAAAAAAAAACTTCCAAATAATTTTTTAATTAATTGTAGTGCCGGCCATAGCCAATGATAATAAGAAACCGTTTTGATTCACCAACAAAAGAGCCGCAATTCGAAAAAAAAATCCTTTAATATTTCTACGCTTCTACTTATCTACTTATCTAGAAGAACTCTGATTTAGAAATATTTTTTTTAATAAAATTTGTTTAAAACAAATACACGTTTTTTGAAGGAACGCGGCCTTAGCGATTACAAAGCGCTTATTATATATGTACATATGTATTTTCATTTATATCACATATGCACAAATGTATGTACATAAAAAGAATCCTTTTACACAAAATAAACACCGAGATTACATAGAAATATGTGAAGTTTAAGTTTCTTAACAAACTCAACACTAAATGGCCACGCCCTCAAACAACTAGCTGCTAAGCGAAGCGGAGAAGATGTGCACATATGTATGTACATATGTGTACATATACTACGAAAGTGCACACTGAAAGTCAAAGTTACTATGCACTATATTTTGATTGAGTTTTCATGAAATTAATTGGGTCACTGGGGGTGCTGTTATGTCGTGCTGAGTTCTACTGTGTCAAAAGCAACAATGCACTAGAGCCCAGTATGCTCAACTTCAACTATAAATATGTATATTGGCTGTATGTAAAACAGGTAGTTAAATGAATTTAGTAATAGTAAAGACAATAGCAAACTCTACACCAGTTGTTGTTTTTTTTCTTTGATAGAACACTCGCTTTAAACCACCCAACCGCCATACATAAAGCACTGAGCAACCTTAAAAAAAAAACTTGCTGAAAACCCCACTAATGCCGCCGCCGTCGACACCACATGAGTACACACAACTCCAAAACGGGTCACAACCCAATTTTACTAGCTTATTGCATACAAACATATATTTATACATATGATGTACTTGGTATTTGGCCCGACAACGATCAGCTGCCATCGTGTCGCGAACACACATATATATCTACACTCTTATTGCATGATATTTGAAAGTGTTGATGTACATACATACGAGT